CAGTTTGTTTAATAGCTTTCTTAGGCACACTAGTAAATGAAATTGAGAAAACTTTGCCGTTTACTATGTTCGTATGTTGTGTGCAAGTGTGGTATTTTTTTAAGAGCTTTGCTGTCGGTAAGCAAGTTATTAATTAAACAAATGACATAGTTTTAGTGGTATAAGAGGTTTGCTTATCAAAACAATAGTTATCTCACTTTTTTTTTATTATATATATGTACATTTTGGGGCCTCGACCAAGTGTTACTTGATTAGCAGCATTTTTCCTTCTTTTATTCAATAAAAAGTTTGTTTTTCACCTCGTGACCAAAAAAAAAAAGTTTGTGTTTCACCCTAAAAAATTAATCAAACAATCGAATGACTGAAAAAATCTTAAATATAAAACCTTTTTATTGTTAACGGGTTTGTAACACGCCTTGAACTTCGTCAGCTGATGATGCTACGCATGAATCGGTTTAATTTGTTTATTTTTCGTCAATGAGAATTGTTAGTACAAATTATAGCATATGTAATTAAACTCAAATTGCACATAATCTATATAAATTTATATGTTGGGATATCAATTCAAGTCCCACATCGGAAGTTTAGACAATAATTGTCTAATATATAAGAGATGTCTAACTCTAATTAGTATGATGCCTTTTGGGAAGGAGCCCAAAAACAAATTCGTGCGGGCTTTGCTTCTGGGCCCAAAGCGGACAATATCATACTAATGGGAAGAGTTGGACATGGGCTTGAAAAGCCCCACAATTGATAACTTTGGGTTATTGGTTGTTGCTTTTGTGAGCGATGGAAAATATGGACAGAATGATCAGCTTGGATGGTTCTAATTATCATATTTGGAAAGGTAAGATGGAAGATCTCCTTTATGTGAAGGAGCTTCATGTTCCAGTCTTCGAGGAGAAGAAACCTGAGGATAAAACTGAAGATCAGTGGAAGTTGCTGCATCGCCAAGTGTGTTTGATAAGGCAATGGGTAGATGATAATGTGAGGAATCATATTGAAAATGAGACTGATGCTCGTTCTTTGTGGAATAAGCTGGAGTGATTTTTTGCTCGGAAGACTGAGAATAATAAGATGTACATGATCAAGAAATTGATTGAGCTGAGGTACCACGAGGGAACTCCGATGGCAGATCACTTGAATGCGTTTCAGGGATTGCTCAATAAATTATCTGACATGGGAATTAAGTTT